ACAGGCCAACTCATGAATATTAACATATAAAAATGAAAGCCGTTTACAATCCCCTGTAACACCGAATTAGAGCAGAGCTCTTGAGGAGGAGGAGGGGAAGGTACTGAGGGGAGAAGCTGGAAAGTCCGTCCACTAGTAACATGGGTGTGGATCAACGTGTGCTTAACGCAAGTCGCAGAAAATGCACATCTTTGGTGAGAACGTCGTGTGTAAATTTGGCGGGCATTTATCGCGCCAATGTTTTCCCCTAACTTTGGCAGGGAATTCTTTTCTCTCGATTTAGCGAGGAAATTATTTCCGCTAAATTTAGCGGAGAAATTTTTTCCGCTAAACTTAACAAGGAATTTTTTCCGCTAGATTTAACGGGGAATCTTTTCCACTAGCGACGTCACACGCGTCCTATAATGCACCGCGCAATTACGCCAACGGCGACGCCACTCAAGCCGGAAACGGGTGCCTAAAGAGCTGTGATATGCACAGTGATATGAATGAAAATGAAGTGTGCTTATGCTCCATAAGTTATTTCGCTGCTCCAAAATTGACTTTCAGCTGCTCCAGGGGTGACTGGAAGACAGGATCAAGAAACAGATGTCGAGTGTTTGGGGAATTAAGCTGTCTTCTGTACAGTTTTATGCTAATGAGTGGTCGGCGAGAGGGAAAAGCAAAAAAGACCGTCACTTAGTTCACTCAGCGAATGAATAACATTGTATTTGCAGTTGAAAGAATAAGAATGTTTGTGCTCCAAATGTTATTTTTGCTGTCTAAAAAAGAACTGTTTGCTGCTTCAAAAGGTGCTCCGAAATGACTCCGGCCTATCACTTCCTAGTGGTGAAAAGAGTTAATGAAACTGGACGCACTTCAGAGGTTCACATGCTGAAATTTTGTACTGAAGAATGGTGCTGGCATATGGAAGTGCCTCAAGGATTTCATCTCGTTCACAATTATATGAATTATGTGTTTCTACACTATTCATTTGAAACTGGATGTATAAATAAGGACTGGAAAAAGTGCCAGCAACACTCGCAAAAACATCGTTCCATGCTACTAGCCTCATGCTAATTCAATGCTGGCCAAAATAATCTTTCAGTGCATAGCAGCTAAGGCATGAAGCTGTCAAGTCACAATCTGAAGCCATGAGCTTGGAACTGCCAATGAGAGTTTGTTAACATTATAGTTAAAAGGCAGCCCAAACCTGTGGTTGAAGGCACACTGCACCATCAAAAAGTGCCTTAGTAAATAAACGATTTCATGGGCCATGTTGCAATTGCACTTTTAAAGACAGTCATTAAAGGGGTCAGGACACGCCAATAATAAAATATGAGATAACTTTATTGCTAGGACACATTGTATGTTCCTATAATCCTGCTAAATTTGTTTTGAAAATGGCGCAATAGTTTTGTGGATAAATCGATTTACATGCGGGACCCTCGGATCCGCCCCATTCGAAAAGGGCTACGGTGACTGAAGGGCCGGTGACATCACCAGCCAAACGTGCGGCGTGGGGCACGCACTGACAAACTTGGCTCTCTTGGCATCTCAAGCTTCAGCTTCCTCGTTTCAAGCATGCGGTCTGTAGCATTTATGTGTATGACATCACTCGCTTTGTCAGAGTCTTTGACACTGATTGCAGCAGCGATGAGAATGATTGGATCAAGGGATGTTGGAAGCTGTTCACTTTAATTGCGACCCGCTGGCAACTAGCTCCAGCGATGGCGGGTCACAGACGAACTCGCCATAGTCCGGGACAATCTCGTGGCGCATGCAGCGTGGAAGGTCAAAGGGCCCGGGGCGGGAGCGAGAGTAGCGTTTGCAGTGATGTGATTGGCCTAAGCCGTTTTGGAACACCTTTCGGAGCAGCCAAAACAGTGTTTTGGAGCAGCAAATGTGGATTTTGGAGCACCTCGAACAGTGTTTCGGAGCAGCAAAAGTGGCTTTCGGAGCAGATATTCTTAGAAAAATAAAAGTATCCGCTTTAGGTGCTGGGCAAACGAAGGACACTTTGCTCGCCACAGTATACATATTATAGTCAAGTTAGACCACCTGGGAGTCCTTCAACATGTAACTGAAATGCCAATGACATGAAACATTTCGCAATGCTTCAGTAAAATGATAAATATATACTGTATGTACCCGCTATTAAATAAGAACCAAACTGCATCTATGAAAATTTATTTTAAAATGATTAGCTTAGAATTTAAATATTACAGCATTAGGTTGACTAGTTATATAATAAATAAAAGCAGTCTCTAAGTGTTGATATACGTGACCACTGCAGTGCAATGTGAAATTTTCATGCGAGCGGAGATAGCCGTTCGATCAAAACCATGCCACTCCGCTCCGTTGCCAACTGGTTCCCAAAATTGTACAAAAAATGTAACTGTCCAGCATACGACAAAAAACAGCCCAGCCGCACGTGCTTGCCAAAGCGGCTGGCGAGGTACAAGCTAAACACACAGAAAAAAAGAACCTGAGCACATCGATGCAAGACATCACGAGCCAGGGTCAGAAAGTTCTTGGAGCGCTTTGTGCAACGACTGAACTCGAGACAAACAAGCGCGCTGTGCAAGTTCAGCGTAACAGACATTGCCTTCTTTGCTTTAGCTCACTTCTCTTCACTAACTCTTTAGCGGCAGATTTTTCACCTACCGGGGTCCTCCTCGAAAGAAAGCGTACCGAGAGAAACCTAGGTAAACAGTACTTGGACACAGCAGTCTTTGATCTAGAGGGATATTTGTAGTAGCGTATTAAACAAGAACAGGAACGTTGATGAACATTAGCGTGGTCCTTAGGCTTCAGTTTAAAAAGCGCCATATCTGCAGCGAAGTGGCGACGGCAACACTCCACGTCGCGCGACCACGGCGACTGGCAGGCAGGGACCAAATATAGTTTTCCCAAGGCCGTCGCTTTCAGGAGCAAATGCTTCAGCTCACAAAGTAACTCCCGCCGCGCAAAAACATGGTTTCGTTTCACAGCATGATGACGTGGCTGGTACCCAGCACGCTTGTGTCGGAGCATTCGCTCATGCCCGCGTCTATCGTTGAAAAAGTTTTGAAAAGACGCGAGACAACGAGAGCGACAAAAGCGCGAAACGAGAGACAGCGGGAAAAACCATGCAAGACCGGATGAACGGTTGATGCAGGGTACTTCGTGTCGGGCGGCCACTTGTGCCATCTAGCTCACGTGTGCTCGTTTCAGTACTCAGTTCATTTCGGTATTGAAAGGCGAGCAAAATTGGTTCTTTGGCGCAGGCTTGGCACAGATTACCTATATTTTGGCAAAATGTAGCAGGATGTAGCAGGGTTAGCCCCTTGGCGCAGTTTGGCGAAATTGGCGCAGCAATCACATCACTGCGCTTGGGTTGCCGAGTTGCGCGAGTGATTTTGATTGTACAGCAACAAGGCGAGCTTGGGCAATCATGGGGGCGCCTAGAATGAGGGTTCAGGATTACGTGGTTTACGGGCACTATGGTGTGACTAACTTGGGCAGAGTTGCCTGTTCGCACTTCACGTATTTGTCGCCCAATTTCAAAAGTGAAGGCAGGAAGAGCACAAGCTCTGCCCATTATGATGCTTTAAAGAGTGATGTATCCGTGACGGTTACCTCATTGTTGCCCTAGCAGCATGTCGTCTATGCTCTCACTAATGGCACGCTACTGAGTGGCGGATGACCATCACAAGGGCACAGGCACGTAGCTGGGGGGGGGGGGGGGGGGGAGGGGGAGGGTCCATGGGGCCTGGGCCTCTGAAATCTTCCATTTTGCTGGGGCCTCCTCTCCCCCCTCTCCCTCATACGGCATTTTGTCATGGCCGAAACAAAATCCTGCCTACGTGCCCGCAAGGGCATCACTCCTCTATGTACCAATGTGGGCAGAACTCCTGCATCTAATTTAGAAATCAGGTGATAGGAAAGTGAACATATGTAGTATTTCATCGCACCACGGTTTTAATTAAGATATTTTCGATCAAGCGAGAGCTTAAACACATTTTCTTCACAGCACTTCATGACATGCTTGCTATTATTATGCAAAGCCACAAGACAATCCTTTCAGTGGGCCATTTTCAGATATATGGGTTCGAGAGTAAACGGATCTCTTTCTGGCTGGCCGAGTAAAAAGGGCTTCTTTGTATCAACTTCGGGGATGAAGAAAATCTATACTGGGGACAAAAGCAATATTTGGAGGAGCCGTATCCGGTTGTATCTAGGTCACAGTCCCTCAATGTGCCAACAGGATGTAGGTCACATTTTCGGGTATGAATGTACCCAAAGAGCATGGTCGGTCGGACCGGAAAACTTGTTTTTTAGCCATGCAACCTCAAACCCAGTCGCACTCCTAGGTGGCACCACTTATTTGGAAAAAAAAAAAGGCTTCAAAAGCAATTCCTAAAAAAAAAAAAAAAAAAAAAAAAAAAAAAAAAGCTCAGGATACTTTTATATACTAACATGAAAATAGTCAGCCTTGGAACTTGCCACCTCCATCCCGGATGCATATTCGGAAAGGCTAGTGGAATAAGTCAACATGTGAATTCTGGCACTCTGATTAGCGCCTTTTCATGGACGTCATATTACCTGATTTACAGGGAAAAGAGAAAGAAGGTGGGGGCCAAGGCTTAGGTAAACATGCCTCAGTCATCCAGACGCTAGCCTTTAGCCGGCTCCCAGATTTGCTTTCACCTATCGGGTAAGCAAATTATGGAGCTGACTAAAGGCTAGAGTGTGAATCACTGAGGCGTGTTAACCTAATCCTGAGGCCTGCCTCACTCTCTACCCTTGTTAACCAGCAAATGTGATGTCCAGGAAGACGCACCACTCAGAGTGCTAGAATCAGCCTGCTGACTAACTCCACAAGCTTTCCCAAATAAGCATCCCGGGTTCAGCATTAAAAAGTGGCTTTATGATGTGGTGCTCCGACCCACCAGGGACGAGTTGAGTATGAGAGAGTTTTATTGTGCCACACTCCCCTTCCCCGGCCAACTGTCTTCTTCCTCCTCTTTCTGACGCAGGGAGATAGCCCTGGAGGTACTGGGGCAGGAACCCGTGGGCTCCTTCATGGTGCGGAAGAGCACGAGCAAGCCCGGCTGCTTCGCCCTCTCGCTCAGAGTGCCCAGGAGCCTGCAGCCCACGGGCATCTCCCACTACCTCATCATGCACACCAACAGGGGCTACAAGATCAAGGTCACACCATTTACACCCTCTTTCACCATAAGAGCCAGTTGATGCATACATTGCAGCAACAAATGAACACTAGGAACTGCCCTGATGCGACGCTGACTTGAACGTAACTTAGTATCAATGCGGCATTGTATCACTAATATGGCGTGGAGTTGGCGCTGCATCAGCAAGGTCAGCACTACTTCCAGCGACGATTAATTGTGCTAAGGTAGCATCGTGGTGTATGCGTGAACAGGCTTCTTGTAGCATCAAAACCAACACTACAAGCACCACCATGTTGTAACGGACAACACCATCAATTCAGGAGCGCACATGCACAGCAGGCCTGCTCGGAGCATTACACTCGCTCTTATAGCTCCTTCTTCGCTTGCACTCGCAGTGAAACGGAGTTCAGATAACGGCCAGGACCAGCTCGCTCCCTCTCATTCACCAGAATATATCGACCCATTTTGAAGGATCCCACTCATTGTTTTGCAGGCATGCCTTGGAAACTACTTTAGCTCCCCAAATCTACCGACAATTGTAAATTGTGTTTACCGTTACGGTCACATAGTTGCTGACAGGATGAGAGGCAGGGAGGTGTTTCAATTGTCCCGCCTCCAGCGCGAGCGTTCTACCTTCGGTAATGCTTCGGCATCTCGTAATGTTCAAACGTGCATGCATGGCCAAAGCACGTCTGAAGGCAACGAGCGTGTGCCAGAAGTGGGGCGTCGGAAAGGGACGCCCGCCGTTTTCACCCTGTCAATGACTATGCGGAGCACAAGTTTGTCTGCTTCATTTGCGGGGGTTGTGGCGACGTCAGAACACCGAGCTCCGATTGAAGATGGTCTGTAGAGCTCAAGGCAGCTAGCTGGCTTTGAGGTATATCCACTATCCTTCAAACACAGCCCATCAGAGCTGGGAATTTTGGCATCACCACAACCTCAGCAAAAGCAGCAGACAAACTTGCGCTTCGCATAGGGGAGTATCGAACTGTGTTTGATGTTCCCCACACGTTGAGCGCAAGCGAAGAGCGTCTCAAGAAGGGCCGTGCCTTGTCCACAGGGCTTCACCAAGGAGTTTGGCACCCTGACGTCCCTGATCACGCACCACTCGGTGATGCCCGAGCTGCTGCCCTGCCCGCTGTCTCTGTCCCGCTACAACTCTGCCTTCCGGAGGCACGGCTCGGCAGAGGACCTGGTGGACATCGACGACGACCCCGACTACACCCTGCTCGCAGACTTCCGCAAGATGATGGCCGACGCCATCTGACCCCCTGGCCTGGTCGTCACGCTAGTCCCTCTCCGGTGGGGATGCCCCGCTTCTCGCTTCTTTTGCCGCAATTAGAACTAGGCCCGGTCACTCGGTTTCTTTTTCGCATGACCCACAATAACACATGTGCTGCGGTGGGACAAGCACAAATGGCAATACCGCTTTTGTGTTGACCAAAAGTGGGGACCAGTGGCAGCTTGCTCCAAGTATGGAAGACGGCCACCAAAAGTCTCATTTGCTAACATTCTCGATGGAAGTGTGTGGACAGCAGCCGATGAGACAGGTAGCCATGGGAATGCTCATTGCTCAAATGTCGACGTAAACTACAGTATGTAGTATCAGTGGTCCTGTCGAGACCGGTTATAGCCAAGTCAACAGGAATCGGAAATCACTTCGCTATATCCGCTATTTCGTTATAACCAACTTCGGTTATAACGAAGTGCGAAAGGGAATGGGAAATCGTAATCACTTCGCTGTAGCCGCTATTTCGTTTCAATTGACTTCGTTATAACCGGTCTCGACAGTATGTATAGTATACGAGGTCTGTCTGGCAAATATCTAGCCACTTACTAGTCTATAAAACATACATGCTCTACGACGAAGGGTACTTATTATTTTTTGGAGTACTCCTCTTGGGAGCTCAACACACTTGTGCCCAGCATGCCTTCTATCTTTAAAAACATCCCGCAAAGCTTTTTTTCAGGATTGCCATTAGCTATCTTGTCATTTTGTCTTTAATCTCAGCAACAGTCTCAAATCTTCCTCCTTTCAACTGCGATTTCAGCCTTGGGAAAAGCCAGAAGTCGCAGGTAGTCATTCTGGGTTGTAGGGGAGCTGGCACGCCCATGCGATGCAGTATTGGACCAACATTGCACAAGATGTAACAAGCTCATTGTTGTGTTCAAGCTGCCAGTCACCAACTGCGCATAACTCCAGTCGTTTCCTTTTCATGGCGTACTTTGGCCGTACCAGAATTTTACCTGGGCACCATCATCACTCATTGAATCCTCCCCAAAAGCCTTCTTAATAGTTTGTACTGAAAAAAATTGAAGTTTGAAGAAACATTTGATGCATGCTTGCTGAACAACTCGCTCAGTCATAACAATATCCGACAATTGCACAGTGCTTCACCTGATTCAACGACATCTCGCTGCCAACTGACCATATGAAAAGTGAGGAGACTGTTCATGCATGCGCAGTGGCGTCCTTTCAGACGGTCTGCCAATTAACACCGAAGCTGTGCCCCGCATTAGCGAGACAATAAAAATGGCTGATTAATTTTCGTACAGACCTTGTATGTCCAAAAGTGAGAGTAGCTTAGCCACCAAAAGATAAACAATAACGATATGGAAGAGTATGCGTTTTCTTTTGTGCTTTTTCTCTATCATGTCTTACAACAGGCTGATCCTAATAAAAAGAAGAAAAAAAAAAGAAAATCCTAGGAGTTTTTTTATGGCTTTTTTTTCCTGCGGACAAAGGGACAAGCGCTAGCTCTTTCTGTTCTTGTCTGTGTCTGTCCTTCTCACTATTTATTGTTCATTACGCTTATCCAACTAGCCCACTTAAATATTTTGTGTACATGCTAACACAGACATACAAGTATGCAATTTTGCACGCTTGTTTTTATGGTGGCATTCTAGCTCTAATATCAATATTCTTCCAATTTCAGATGGAAATGACCTTTCCTGGAGAAGCAGTTTCCATGAATGGTGACCCACCGATTGACCGACAGTGCCCATTCAAGCTGCTGAACCACATGACCCACTACCGCTCTGTCTCTCTCCAAGACCTCTTCGCAGAGAACACAACAGATAAACACACTTGACTGCTGCGCACACAACACTTGCAGCAGTATCAGCCATCAACTGGCATCTGTGGCATTGTGATACAGGACTTTAGGACTCGTGCTTATGGCCTACAGTCTCATATGACCACTCACTTCTTCAACTCAGTGAGACCATCCGTACACAACTTGACGACCACCTTGTTTAGAGGAATGAGACATTTTTAAAGTGGGCGGAAATAAAGCCTTCATTTTTCTCAATCTCTCCTTGGCACGTAGTAAGGATGCTGGATCACCTAAGCCACTTTGGCTAGCCAGCTCTTCAGGGCTGTCAGTTGGGACTCCTGAGGTTCTTCGGCACTGAATTCTGCAAATTCGACCGTGAGAGGCTTCAGGTCCGAAAACTGGAAATCCTTGCCCTTCTTCCCGAGGAAGCCCTTGCTGTTGGCCTGTCCTTCCGTCGACTCCAGGACAGACGCTTGGGTGGCACGAAGCACATTCCTGAAGAAAAAATTATTTTTACGTAAAAAATTAAGTATTGGACACAAAACACAGAACCTCCACAGGCAAGGGCAAATACCCCACTGCATTCACCCATGTTTCAATATGGTAAATTACATTCTGAATGCAAATTTGTTTTTAAATAAAAAAGTATATTAAATATTGGTTAGCAGTAACCACACTATGCAAAACTAAATTCTGAGGTAACTGCAAGTAGGGGTGATAAACAGAGGAACCTTGGGCATGATTTCAACCTTTAATCTGCAACATGGTATTTTGCTAGGGAATGTTGACATAAGTAAACAGTCAACACTCGGTTACTGTGGCTTGGTATTCAACGGCTGAATAGAGACGTTCAGGCTAAAAATATAAGTTTCTAGAAACCCAATCTTGAAATCTACCAACGTGATAATGTGGCCAGTCGGGCAACAATAAAAAAATTTACTTTGAAGCAGAGACAAATTATGATATGCATGCACTCATAATGACCACCGATGCGTATCCCAATTCTGACCAGTGAAAACTGAGGTAGGGTTTACACAGAAGAACCATGGCTTTGATTGCACGGATGCATCCAACTGCCTGGGAGAAGCCCTTCCTTCATGCACGAGTGTGGTGCAGGGAAGCAGTGGAGCAGCTCGCACAAGTGGATTTTCTTGAGCATGTAAGAATTGAAAGAACAGATTGCACTGCTAATGTGGCTGTTAGTTAATGCATAATCTTGTTTTATTAAGATTACATGGCATTGAGTAACAAAGCTTGAAGTTGACTTATGTGCTCACTTACTCGTAATTTTGCAATTGCACAATCAGTTTGGAGCTACCTGAATCAAGCAACCCCAAAACTTACATTTCCTTTTCCAGTTGAGACTGTACAACCTTTGATGACTTGGCCAAAGCTAAGTCTGCAAATAACCAGACATCAGAGAGATTAAGCAGACAGCTGCAGCATGCAACTGGTAATGGAGAATGTTCACACCTGGTGGGATATATCTTGAACCAGGCACGTAGCCAGGGGGAGGGGCCCCCCCCCCCCCCCCGAAATCTTCCATTTTGCTGGGACCTCCTCTCCCCCCCCCCCCCCCCCCCCCCCCGAACCAAAATCCTGGCTACGTGCCTGTCTTGAACTCAAATTGGCACCAATGGCGAGTAAGCTCCAACGTTTGCTATGTCTCTTTCATGTTTATGTCAACCTTGAGCTCAAGAAGTAAGAAAGAATGGATGCTAGCAAATGCTTAAAAGACTGGAAGAAAAAGGGATGTATCCCTCAACGTTAAAGGAAATGGACGAACTCCTGTTTCTAAATGACCTGATACCGAAGTACAGTCGACTCTCGGCAATTCGAAGTCACTTGATCCGAATTTTCAACTTCGGGAAAAAAAAACGTGCAGTAATTCGAAGTTTAACCTCTGGGACTGGTTAATTCGAAGAATTTTTACGTGCTTGAGAAGTCCGGCAATTCTAGGAGCGTGAAAAAGCCTCGCGATTATGCTCACCAAGCTTAAATCACACCCGCACACACTTTATCGTGTTTATTGTGTGTGCAGACAAGAAAAAGAGGGAACGAGCATGGCGCGCGCACGGGTACCAGGCGGCTGCTGTATTATGCCGAGCCAAGCCAACGTGGCTGCAGGCGCACGTGGCGTTGTTCCCACAGAAATTACAAGGCGAGCGTGACCGCACGGCACGTACGACCAACAAAACTCGGCTTGAGGCATTCTCCAGTCCCACAAGATGTTTTGTCCATTGAATATATTGATGTCAAAAACGTGCCGTGGTCTGTATGTAGCCTGCTCTCGCACAGTGACGTCGTGCAAGTGGTTAGGACGAGGAACAATCGCATTGCTTTCCGTGCGGAGTGGCCGAGGGCCGCTGTTGCAAAACTGCTTGTTGCACCACGAAGCACAATTTTGCATTTAAGCAAGGTTTGCAATTTCCAGAGCATAGCTAATACTGGACGCCTTTGTTAGGGGAATACTTCGAGTCTCCATTAGCAGAGGCAAACGAGAATAGACTCCAGGTGAGTACTGAGTAAAAACCAAACAGTTTGATTGTTCTTTGTTTTTTTGGAAGCATTTTGGAGTCCCTGTGAGCTTCAAATTATCAAGAGTCGACTGTATCTTTAGTGAAACCTGGGATGGGCCACAGCGCTATATGTCAGCTGACCTTTACAGCATGTACTATGAGCTCTAACGGGCATTCCGGTTTGGGGCTTTGGCGTCGCCGCTCTGCGCACGTGCAGCGAAAGCTTGCACACCAGAACCCAGGGATCCTGTTTTCAATCTCTACTCGTACCCTTTTCGATCTGGACGAGCTTTGTACAGGAGTGCGGTCGTGTATCACCACTGCGGGGTGCACGTTGAAGGTCCTAGCAGTCGTACTGCACTGGCTAAATTTTTCGCCAACAGCATAAACCAACCTCGCCATACCTCGAGGCGGTCCGACCTTACGCTGTCTACACACATATGTCCAAGTTTTTTTTTTTTTTGCATTCCAGTTTGTATGGAGAAGACAAATTTCAAAAGAAGGCGTTCGAGCAACATCTTTAACTCGGCTAAAACTGAAGGCGAAACAAAGCATAGACCAACAGATTTGAAAGTTGTCTTTCCTTAGTGCTAGAGGCGCTAAGTGCTGACACATTTGATATAATAAGTTTGGTCCTGATCGTTAGTTGATACACATGCCTCTTACACCTAGCACTTTGCATGTGAGATAAGCTGGCCATACCTTGCTTGTTGCAAACAACGAGAACAGGAGGGCAGTGCTGCGAAAGGACGCTGTCACTAAGAAGGCTGTACAAGAACCTGGAAGGAGATTTTTAGGCCATAAAGTATGCGAGATGGCATTTGTGACAGATCTCTAAATTGCAGCTTCCTGCATAATTTAAATACAAGAAGTTGAACCTAAACTTATTGCGTGGCAGTGGACTAGGCCACTTGTGTCGACCGTAACTAACCTGCCACACTCTAGATCAGTGGTTCTCAAATGGGGTTCCGCGGACCCTATGCGGTCTGCGAAGCACTGCCTCATCAGTCAAGCTCGGCAATAAAAGTTGTATTCTTTTCAGATTAAGAAGAAACATTCAAATTTCCGGGTGTTTTCTTGTGTGTATGTCTATAAGAGTAGTCTACTTCACACTACCCTTAGTTGCATTCATTTAATAAATAATTATCAAAACTAACCTATACTTTCCCTTCCCATCACCACAAACGGGGTCCCCCATCATCTCCGCTGATCCACAAGGGGTCCGTGAAACATCAATGGTCGAGAACCACTGCTCTAGATCATGCAAATATATCCCATCTTTTGCTCTTTCATTTTGGCTATTGCTGTGCTTCCTTGTCCATTATCGCTGCTCAAAGAGGAACATGCTCGTAAAAAGATCCACAACATGCTCCAACTTTCATGGTGAGTTTTCGTTATCAAGAAAAGCAGTGTGGTTTGCTTTCACCGGCATCTTTGCCAAGGCACATGCTTTTTCTTAATAAACATCTTTTCACTCTTTTTTTTCATAAATACACATACATTTTCAGTATGGGGATGCGAAATCAAAACGAAGAGCACACGAAAGACAAAGTACTGACGAGACACAACCTGCTGTGTGCGTCGACCTGCATTCTGGGCCCTTCCTGAACAATAGGAATGTTCTGACAACCCAATGTCTTTGCCAGGTTATTACATTCACTCTGCAACCTCCAATGCAAAGTTAGGTCTCAAAATCGTATTTGTTATTAGACCTCATGCCAATACAGCAACAGGTAGAGCAAGGGTCTCAAACACACGGCTCGCAACTCGCCGGGATGCGGCCCGCAAGCATCCCGCGGTTGCAAGCCCCCGCTCCGATGCCATTTGAGCGCTCTAAATAATAGTTTCATGTGGCGGATTCATTTCTGCTCGAGAAGGAGCTCTGCTCATATAAAACATTTGAGTACTGCTTCATGTAAATATTTACTTCTTGGCCCTTTCTCATGTAAATCAACCAGAACAAGAGTATGACTATATCAAGCTACAAGCGCAAGCTTTACTCAAAGAGGCAGCTCGGCTGCACGAACTCTCGCTCAGCAGGTGCAACTGCCGAAGTTAGAGCTTTGTGCTTAATGCTGCTATAAAAATCGCCAGGAAAGTAAAAACTGCCCTATGAGGAGAGACATGTTTCCATGACTGGTGAGCCTCGTGAATTGTGCGACAGGGTAACGACAGTGTGATTTCTTATGTTCTATTGGAAACTGCCAGCACGTTGGTGTTTTACACCTTATCACATCATGTGCGGGCCCAAAGTAGACATATATGCAAATCAAAGCTGAAGATGTCACTGGCAAAACGGCCAGCTTACAAAAAGCGGAGGGTGCGTAGCCCGATCTCTAAAAAATGCCCGAGGTGTCACTGGGAGAGTCTGCAACTTTCCAGCATGGAACACCATTCTCATTGGTTCTTTTTTTTACCCAAAATACCAAAATATTCCCTTTACCACCTCTCTGGTTGGCCTTCTACCTTTCGGGGGTGGGCTATGCGGCCCCCACACTACAATGAGTTTCAGAATCCTGAGGTAGAGAGAAGGACATGCCTCGGATGCCTTTAAAATGTCGTTCTATGGCATTGCACGGCAGTTTTCAGAGCTGAAATTAAAGAAAATTGACAATACTGACAACATGATGCATCTTGCTGGAACTTGGTTGCATAGCTTTTGCTAGTGTGTCATACTTACAAGCTATAATTTTTTACTTAAAAGAGATGCACTATTTTTTCTCTCATCAGATGTACGTAGCCCAAGTTTTTAATAATATCAAGCAAGCGTTGACCGCTGGGCCGGCCAGCGCTGTGCCGCGGAGGGGTTTAGCAATACGGGAGAGATTAGGCACGTGCGTACGAAGCTCTTTCCGGTGCAAGCGTCGTCTGCTATACTCTGTTTCACCTTATCATGTACCGCAGGAAAGGCTACAAGCGCGAGCTTCTTCCTCTAGGGAACATCTCGTCGGCACAAGCTCTCGCGCATTAAGGGCAGCTGCAAATGCTACGAGCTTGAGCTTCTAGCCTTCACTGCGGTACAACATAAGGTGAAACAGAGTATAGGCTATTCTGTTGACCGAACATTGACCCTACTCCATAGGAAAGAGGTGTAGAGCACTGATTAACATCATTGCTTATCCAAAGTCCACCTTCTCTTTTTTTCTCTCTGCTTTTCTTATCTGTTGGTAGAACAAATGTCTGAACAGCGTACGCTTGCGTGATACTCGTCTTTCGCGGCTTATGCTACGCCCGAGCAGTATCACGCCAGCAAGCACTGTTCGGATCTTTACTTAAAGGCTTTTGGTTACCTCTAGCAGCAGATAAGGGGCAGAGGTTGTGTGCGATCAATGGAATAGCCTAGCAGACGACGCTCGCACCGCAAATAGATTTGTGCACACGCCCCTAAACTCTTCCGTATTGCTGCACCCCTCCGCAGCACAGCACTCGCCGGCGGTCGACGCTTGCTTGATATTATTAAATACTTGGACCACTGTACACAATTCTAGACGCCCACAGCACAGGTGCGCCTACTGGCACTGCTACGAAGGACAGAAATCGGCAGGAAACAATCATCTTTTTAAAAGTAACAATACGTAAAAGGCTGTCTTACTCGGCAACGTCCCGAACTTCTCGCGTGAAGTTCACGCTGTCCACAACAAACACGACAGCCCTGAAAAATAGAACAATGGTTGAATCATTATATTCACTTTATACGCCGGCAAATATAAAACGCAGTCACTATGAACACGTACAAACAACAAGCCCTATAAAAAAATTTAAAAAAATGCAACTGCGATTAGTTGAGAGGGTGCAGCTACCTTGCTAGGCTCTTGAATTGGTCGATGAGCTGCGCTCGCATCCTGTCGTTACCAGGCAGGTCAATCAGGTTGAGAGTTCCCTTTACACAAAAAAAAAAACGAAAAAAAAAATGAAAGAATATTAGAAATGATGGCGTGATATGGTTCGTTCTAAAATCCTACAGTCACTTATGGGATGAGAACGGCAGGGCGTCTTCAATAGAACCTCGTTGATATGTTTAGAAAAATAATGTGAGAAAAATCTTATAATCTGGGAAAACGTATGACCCGAACTTGGCATTTCTACGCGCCAAGAAATAATCAAGAGTCGAGAATGAGTCGGAACAGCATCTAATGCAGTCCGTTTACTTTCCGGAACCTTACCTTTTGCCCTTTTTTCAAGAGATTCTCCAGCATCTGCACTCTTAAGGCCCGTTCACACTCTTGCAACCGAGTGCGACCGAGAGAGACCAAACCGGTTTTTAAGCCTTTTGCGATCTCTTAGGACCAGCTCCGCTCAGTGCATCCGGTCCCAAGAAGTCTTTCTCGGTCGTACTCGGTTGCAAGAGTGTGAACGCGCCTTTAGCTGCCTTACGTATGTTTGCCTTGCTTATCGTCGACGCAGATCAGCAGTCCCAGTTTGTTTGCAACGTCAATCCGTTTCGGTCTTGGGTCCTGGTCTACAACAACTACCATATTCAGCATTTTCTTAGCGACAAGGCTTTTCTCCCTTTCGTAATACCATTACAGAATGCCTTCGGCAATGGAGCAAAACACGAGTAGCGCACTTCGCAAGAACAACCGTCGGAAACGCAAACCAACCATAATGACTGCAGCAACCAAAAACAGAACGAAGAAATGCCGAAATGCTGGTATAGTTCATTTGCTCAGTCTTTTAAATGTCATTGCAGACACTTGAAGAGAGTCACTCTTGGTGACCATAAACCGGTTACTCAAAACCCCTTTGAAACAGTTTCTGGAGTCACCAAGAGTGACTCTCTGCCACGTGTCGATTTTGGAGATCCTTACAAATTTACGGTCTACAAACATACACCCCACTTCCGTGTTGCCAACTGAAATTTGTAAAACGTGCAGAATTTTAGCCCGCTGATTGGAGGAAATGTATTATCCGATCGATGTTTGATCTTATCTTGAATGCGATTCCCGGGAAATTGTATTATTCGGAAACGTATGAACCAGCGCAACTCTATGGGACTGATGCTCGTGCCTTGATCATGAACGTACAAGTCAGGAAATCGTATGAACCGAGAACGTACCAACAAAGTCCTACTGTAGCTCAGTAGTCGTGCCTCCAGCACTCGCTTTTTACCTTCGGCCATGCTTTGGCTACTGGTGCATGCTGGAGGCTGGCGAGACGCTGAGCTGTTATCGGAGGTAGGAAGCTCCTGCTGGAGGAGGGACAACCGGAGCCCTAACCTACACGGTGGGACCAGGCGGGACCGGACATCGCTACCTGCTGCAATTGGCCACCTTTGCATCGCTGGCCAATCGCAGCAGACGGCGATGTCCCGGTCTCGCTGCGTAGATTAGGGTCCCTGAAGGAGCTCCCTACCGTCCTCATCCAATCGGAGACTGTAGGGTATATTCACTGGCGGCCATAGCCGAGTCCTTAGCTGCTAAGCGCGACCCGACAGCCAGCTCCCATAGTCAGGGTGTCTTGCGACCGAGAAAACCGGGAATTGTCAGGGAAGTTTTAATTGCCGGGAAAAGTCAGGGAATTCTCAGGGATATTGTCAAAAAGCGAGCCCAGTACCCAATGCAGAGAGGACAGCTGACAAATACAGTCCAAGGCTTGGATTGAATAGGATTGAGAGCGCGAAGCTCAGCTAGATCCAATTAGAGCTGCTAGATTTAGTAACAAATGGGAAAACCGTCAACCCAAATCTAATCCAAGCCTTAAAGGGGCTCTGCAATCATATTTAAGCGTCTATTTTTTTTTGCGGTTTCTACGTCTCGAGATTCAGGCAAGCCAGCGGGCACTGAGAGAGTAACTAGATATCAGTGCGTCATATTTTAATCGGACGACGCGGAAACCTCCTCCTCCTACGGGGGCAACCCGCGGTGCCGAAAGCGCGCAATATATGGACTCGTTGGTCCTGGGCTTACAACTGGTCAGAACCACTAAAAGCTTCTTTTAGTTGAAATACAAAATAGAAGTGGCACAAACCATTTCAATGATTTATAAAAGTAGTTTTTGTTCAGTATTTTAGATCAGAAAAGAAACAAATGCAGTTTAGAAAGTACGAAAACAAGAAATGACCCGTCGACATACCCGCCACCAAGCGGCATACTACGAAGGTGTAATGGAATCGGGCACCAACGAGCAGCGAGCGTAGAAAGGTCCCAGATGTATGCGGCGGCGCCGCGGTCGTATGGATTGGAGGATTTGACCGGTTCCGAGCATTCCGAAGGCTTTCGGCGAGCAGCTTTGGCTTGTGCTTTGGCTGTTTGGCAATATGGAAGTGCAAAGTGGCTCTTGTTCTGAACTGATCTTTACCCCTAGTTTGCTGTCAGTTGTGGCCAATGAAGTGTCATGCCGAATTAGTGTTTAATCTCGCAGTAAACGCAATACGAGCCGCCCTGGCTGCCAGCTTCATACAGCCTATCCAGAACATGCTTTAGTGGCGCCCTCTCGAGCCGTCGACACGGAGTGCGGCAGCCGTGAGCGCTCGCAAAGCTCACTACCCCTCCTCTAGTTCACGGCCACCCAAGCAACCGAGGACGTCACGAAGGAGGTTATTTTTTGCTTGTTTTTGTAATTTTCATTTGCCTATAACTTTTAAAACAAAGCGAAATTCGAGAAAAATTTTATTAAAGGACACATGCAAAGGAAAAAAAAAATTTTTTTTAAACGGCTTAGATGGAAAAAGGACGCCGTAAAACGATTTTACAACGAAGGAAAAAAATGTTTAGAGCTATATTTACGGCGCGAAACGAATTTGTAGTTGGCGCCCGCGGGCACCGCGGAAAAGTGGTCCGTATTTATCACGTGGTGCTTGCGTTCTTTCGGAAGCTTATGGCCTCTAAAAGTAACTTATTCATCTTTGTTTGAAGTTTAACAAAAAACTAAGATGAATAAGTAACTTTTAGAGCCCAAAGGAAACTCCTGAAAAAGCGCAAGCAGACGTGATAGACCTGTGCGCCGGTCAGACGACGGCGGCGGCGCCCCGAAGCAGACGAACTTGTGCGGCGGCGGCGACGGGGGCGTGGAGAAATGCGTTGAAGCGGCGTTCGCACAACGCTCAGCGTGCGGCGGCGCGCGGGCCTACCACGTGACCAGCGGCGGCTCCCGCGAGCGCCAACTACAAATTCGTATAGTGCCGTAAATATACAGGGGTGGAACTCATGAAATGTACTTGGGAGCAGCCACGGGAGCAGCTGAAACAGCTGTTTTAGAGCAGGTTGGGAGCAGCTAAAACTACATTCTGGAGCAGGCTAGGAGCAGCTCAGATCAGTTTGCATTGCACTTCAGCTTGTATCTTAGACAAGCACGAAAGCAATTTCAAATGTGCTTAGCAGCAGAGATGAACATGAGCGGTTAGGGACCTAGGTAGAGGGGATAACAGTGTAATATATGCGAAAACGTGAATCTTTGTGAGCCTTAATGAGAATCAAACAGCAAGTACTCTATGTTTCTGAAGATAGCGTCCTTGACATTTTCTAAGTGGCTTTCAGCTGCTCAAAATGCAAACCAGCACTGCTTATCGCACAGCCCACACGTGCTCGACACAGTAATTATATGTGCGAACCACGTGACGTGCGTAAGCAACGGACGTGCAGTTGCACGGAGGAACGGGGCAACAAATTTCGAGTTTATCCTATTGTGCAACTCGATATCGAAGCAGCAGACTACGATTAACGAAGTTATCGTATTTGAAGCGATAAGCAGGAGCAAGGTTGATGTACGCCGAGTAGATAAGTAGAGCTGCTGACCGGCAAGGTTTCGGATTGGACCGCGTTTCAGTTCTATCAAATCACGATTTATCTTGCAAGAATGCGGTTCCAACTCCTAACGATGAAGCACTAAAAGGAATATTTTGCTCATTTGCTTTCGACTGGATGACGTCCGGATCCCGGGCCGCAGAGCCTCATGCAATCTGACGCTTAACGACTCGACCTCACCTCGGCCTACTTGCCCTACCGCTTATGGCTGAAGAGTAACAATCCAGTCGCAGGTGGTGTAGCGCTTAGAATCCGAGTTTTTTCGCGCGCTTCCGACTCGGGATAGACAAGGGGAATAAACAGAACAAGGGATTGCAAGGCCGACCAGGCTAAACGCCCTCATTGTTGACAATCGAGTCGATAAAAACCGAAACCAAGACAAAATAAAACTTTTTTTTGGGCGGACGTTTTGCGATTTGGCGCATAATGGCGCGAGGTATTGGCTGTGGCGCAGTTTCTGCAACATGGCGCAGGATGGCGCAGACACATGCGTCTGGCGCAAAATGGCGCAAATGGCGCAGCCGTTCCACCCCTGATATAGCTCTAAAATTTTTTTTTCTTCGTTGTAAAATCGTTTTATGACATCCTTTTTTCATCTAAGCTGTCTAAAAAAAAATGTTTTTTTCCTTTGCATGTGTCCTTTAAGTTACTACGTTCAGTGCGCTCAGGTTCGGTGCAAATTAAAAACCAGTAAAAAAGTCCTTGCAGGGCCCCTTTAAGACGAAAGTATCCGAAAGTGTGCAACTGGTGGCCCTGCTGCCATTCGGGTATTGATGCGTATGGTTGAGCGTCATGTTTTCAACATGCTTTCAAAAGTGGCCTCTTCACTAACAATGTCGGCGGCAAGAAATCGCTTGTCTAATCCAGACTGGACGAACCCGAATATTTCTGAATAGGCAAGTTGGATTAAGCCCATGTTAGATGATCCTCACAGTGCTCAATGCCTTGTGTTGAGGTGGTTTTATATATTTAACCGCCTCTATAGTAGTTAGGGAATTTCACCTGAAATTGTTGGGGAGCACCTGAAAAAGTCAGGGAATTTCAAAATAATAATCTACTAGACACCCTGACAGTGCTTTTTCAATGTGCATTCCACACTATAAAGAGTGCCGATCTTTGCAGAGTGTAAGTGTGCGCTCATTCTGAACATGCGCCTCGAAGAGCGCAAACATGGCGCCTGGTGAACATCCTCCGTGGTAAAGCTCTGCGAAACAAACTCACTTTCTTGGGAACCTCGTAGGCTGTCGTGTTTTCTTTTATGGACGTGTACGTGCCGACTTTTTTCTGCGCGACAAGCTGAAATGGAAAAAGAGAATGGTTTTGATTGTAGCATCGCCGAATAAATTCGGTTCGGAACGAAAAGTGCAGCGGGGGAATTCACCAATTTCGAGAAATTGACTCACCTGAGAATACAGAAGAGTCTTCCCCGAGTCCGAGAGGCCCACGATCAGCACTGCTCGTCGGAGGTTTCTTCTTCGCCGGAAGAGTAGAACTGCAAAGTAGGACGGTCACTCAACGGTAATGTCAGCACAACACTGCACCTGTCAAAGGTACGACGTTCAAACCACGCCGGTGTTCTCCAGTGTTTTCATTTGAACACCCGCTTCGTACTTTTAAATTGTATATCCGTAGCTCTATGTACACTTGGTGCAGACCACAAGGTATGAGGTGAAAACACGAGAAATTACGCTGACGCGGAACACGTTGCAGTGCTCCACAAATTCTAGTACATCACACAACCGGCGCAGAACATGCCACGAGCATATGGCATCGCTTTCGTGTCGCTCAACGCCAATCAGGCTGCCGACACGGAGAAAAACGTGCCTACCTGTTGTTATGAACAAGACGACCAGGGCAACGACGATGCTTAAAACTACGGGACTCATTCCTAAAATAGTGTTTTTGACAGCATAAAGTGGCCTTTCCGATTTTCCTGCGAACTCGGCCGCCATCTTCAAAGCGTAAGCAGAGTCCCCTGCCGGTCGTTTACGCGAGCAACGCGAGGATGAAAACTTGTAAATGTCATTCGCGTCAATCTACCCCAAACTATAAGTTTTGAAGTTGTCTTTTATGTAATATTAACAACAAGTATATTTTCATAACGTTTATGCGAAGCTATTTGGTGTTACTACTATCGGTGAGAAGGCTGCACTTACTACCACGAGATGGTGCTAGCTCTGCAAAAAGAACCTTCATGGCGGTTTATTTAAATTACCCAGACCGCCTTGGATGCTTTAATTTTTGCCACAACTAATTTAAATCGACGTCCTTTTGGTTTTTAAACCGTTCTGACTGTTCTAGATTACGTATTAGGATGTGAGGGAGAATAAATTCAGCATGATGATCTTACCTCAACATGAATCATACTAATCGAAACCCGGCTCACGCTGCAACGGCGCCAACTCAGCTGATGGTTATAATGCAATTAAATGCTTTATGTTTGTCCTTTGTCCCTCTTGTTCCACTTCTCCAGGGATTACTTTCGTCAGCTGATGGGTCTGGGCTCGAAGTTGAGGCATTGCTTGAACCCCAGCCTAATTTTGATGCAGAACTCGTGTCCAATCCGGACCTGCTTTTAGCAGCGGGGAGAAATCCCCGGGATTTCTCCCTCGTGCGAATGCCCTTGAGCGCCCACTGCGGTCTACCGTAAAAGTAAAGTTTTTTTTTTTTTTTTTTTTTTTTTTTTTTTGGGGGGGGGGGGGGGGGGGGTGTTTGGCTTGGACGGGATGGGGAAGCTACGGTTGCAGCAAGTAACGAGCCGGAGGACTGATGTTCGTTCTTTCTGCTTTTGCGGTGATATTTCCATAATATGAGCGGAAAAGCGGAAACCAGCTGATGTGAGAGGAAGAGAGAGGCGAAATTCTTTATTGTTTTGGTCATCGGGTCCGAGATACAACTCGTGAGCCGGAGGCTGTGGCAGACCGGGTGAAACCTCCACGCAGGCTTCATGCGACCAGCACGCTTCAGTTTACCGACACCTGGACTGAACCCTTCACGTTTCGAGTATGTCATAGTCGCACGGGAAGCCAGGGGTGCCTGAGATTAGGATGAGCTAACCCACTTCCCTCGTGTACTGCGTGGGTATAAGAGAAAAGCTGTTTTGTGATTCCACTACTTGGAAGCATTGCTTGGAGTCTTTAATACACGTTTACTTCCTTACTTATCTCGAAGAGTGTATGCTTTCGAGTCAATTATTTCTGACGGCTGGCTGCTTCCTTTTCAGTTTCCCCCTTCTCCTACCTACGCGCGTATTTTTGGGCGAAACAGAAAAACAAAGAACATAGGAGGTCGAGCTGAGGGAAGTTGCAACGAAGGGGACGAGCAACGTATTGTTCAATCCTCTTCATTGCATTCAATTAGGACTGGCATTTAAATTAACCGCCTTTTGACTTCCTCTTTTTTTCTTTTTTAGTGAAAGCACAGCTGCAATAGTTTCTGGTCCCGAAAGTGACAATATCTCTTTTTGTCGGGAAAGTTTAATCAGCTCCACGTTCTTAGCACGTTGTTGCGTTCAATCAGTACGCCTGGCTACTGTGTACCTCCCTGTTTTAGTTTGTCCATATAGTACAAACGTGTGTTTTGGGTCGAGCCAGCCACCCGGGCAGGAGCTTTAGCGAGTATCGTTTGGACGAGACTCCTGAAACTCCCTTCGGATCCGTTGCAGCTTGCGGTGGGCTTCTTGAGCAACACCCGCATTTTGCGTGGAAGCCGAACTCCGGCTGCAGCGAGCACGGCTCCCAGTTCCGGGGTTTTCTCGTGTTTTCTTTAGTTACGTTGTGACGTTGTTGTGACTCGAGCGTGTATGGAGTTCCGTTTAGGTGCCGCAATATGAAATGACACAAACACGCACACACACAAATAAGACGAGGAGCAAAATTCTTGCTCCGCATACTGTTTTACGGTTGTTTATTTTCTACTCACGTAAGAAAAGCACCTGACGTTGGAAGGTATTTACTCATAGAAGGAAAGAATCCAAGATCATGTGTACTGAAATACAAGCTCTCATAACAAGACGGAGAGAACAGGTCTTAAAATTGTGAACGAGAATACGAGAGAGGGAAAGAGAGAGAGGGGGTGGCGCCAGGCAGAAAGTTGGCAAGCGAGCTAAGCCGCTAAGCTGTCCAAAAACACCGCTACGGCGTCACGTGACGTGTTGCGGGCGAGGTCGCACGTGGCGCACGCGCGCCACCTCCCATTGGCTGCGGGAACCCGGCCAATCGGGGCCCTCGGCGGCCCCTGCGCGCGCCACCCAGCAGGGCGGACGGGGCGCGAGCGGCTCACGCGACGTCGACCGCCGGAGTCAGGGTGCACGTGCTCGCCGCAGCCTCTTCCCAGGATACGCCTCCGTCGCTGCCGAGGGACACCGTGTCGTGTCTCGCTCGATTCCTGCCGGCGACCGGACGGGGTGCTGGACGGGCCCGAGATGCCCGTGGCTGCCGATGCCCCGACGGCGGGCAGTGCGGACGTGAAGATGGAGACCGGAGGACGCAGGGTGAGCACCCCGGGCTGGTGGTGCACCGCTCGACACGGCTTGCACGCAACGTCATCGCGCCGTACCGGTGCTCATTCCTATTCGTTCTCGCCGAGAAAGAACACATTCGGTGGTGCCCTAATGTGCGCTGGGGAAGGTACACGCGCTCAGCAGCAAGGTCCTTCGCAAATGCCGTTAGTGTGACGTCAGCGCAAGCCCCGTATTGTGCAGACGCCATTATAGTAAACTGACAGGGGAGAACGCCAGCAGGGTCTTACAGTTGTCCTGCCTCCAGTATGAGCTTTCTACCTTCGATATCTCGTCGGCTTCGAGCATGCACTACGTGCAGGCAAAGCCCGGCGCAAGGCAAGGGGCGCGTTCTGAGGGTCAGGCATCCGAAAAAGGCGCCCTGCGCCCAAGGTGCAGCTTTGCAACCTACTACGTGCATATTCGTTGCCTTGGAATGCTAGCGAGCCATGCGCCACATGCATGAAATCTCAGGATGGGCCTAAGTCCCTGGATACTGGGAAAGTGGGGTCATCGCCTTCGCCCGCTAGACGGACATGAAGTAACTGGATCGTGGGAAAGTAGCGCCAAGCTCCTCGTATGATCGCCATTTTGGCCCTTGAAATGAACAATTTCTTCTTGGCGTCTCCATTCTTGGAGAGCCGATCCAATTTCTCTGATGACGGGTAACTTTATAGACACGTTGCTTGTATACCGAGATTTCGCTATCCATGCGCCTGCGAAACAAGCATAAGTACATCTTCGTACCACCACCACACGGGGTGTCGGTGCTTGGAACAAGAAGAACAATATAATTGTATAAGAGATCCGTGGAGATGGGCATAATTGATAAGTTGATTGCACACACAGTGCCAAAGACGCTTATATTGGCGAGGAACGCTTCCAGTACGATGATGCTCCATGGTTCGCGACTGCATTAGAACGACCCACTGGAAGCTTCGAATATTTGAAGAGGCCGAAATGGCGATTGTCATGGGAACGGAGTCCGATTAGCCATTCGCCTTGCGAGGTTTTGGTTGTCTGTTTGTTAGTATTTGTTTGTGTTCGGCTGGAAGGCACGGAAGACAATGGCGCTACTCTCCCAGGATCGTGGCTTTAGTCGGATACAGATACTAATGTATACAGTCGAAAAAACCACGCAGGGTGATCGGCTGATCGGTGTTAGTTGCCATGGCAGTGGCCATTTCGGTCCATTCCAATCTTGGAAGCTTGGAAAGGGTCGTTCTGAACCAGTCGTGCCAAGATATGGAACATCATTGCATTGAAAACGTTTCTCGCCAATATAAACGTTTATGGCACTGTGTTATCAATCATGCTTATCTCCCCAGATCTCTTATAACGATATTGCTCTTCTTACGTATTTCAAGAGAGGGAGATTGTTTTTCAATGCCTCTAAGCACCGGCGCCGGATGTGTTAGCGGTACGAAGATGTACGCTTGTTTCGCCGGTGTGTGCACAGCAAGATATCTGTATACAAGAAACGCCTCTACAAAGCTACCCGTCACCAGCGAACTTAGATAGACTCATCAAAAATGGAGAGGTCAAGGAGAAACTGCTCATTTACCGAAACTTTCTTAGGCTCTACTTAGAACTGCTAAATAAGCTACGGCTCAGAGTATACGACACTTCGGCCATCTTGGTGCTTAAAATCATGGTTTCCAGTTGTCTGAAACTTTATCTGAAATTGCAGGAAACGCATTTACAACCTCCGGAAATGTTAAAACAGTTCGGAACAAGGCAAAGCAACATCACCTGCGCTTCCTAACACCGCATCTAAAGCTGCTGAACTCGCATTTTTGAATTGTGACGATCGACAGTTGCGTCTGCTCTGCACTAAGCATAAAAGATGGCGGCGCCCACTAGCAAATCGGGAAACAGAGTGCGGATACTTTAAGCGTAACTTATTTAGTGACTCTAGCTCTAATTTCTTGGGATCCAGCGGCATTCGATGGCACCTGCCAGAAGCTCTTTAGTCGAGAGGTCTATGCACCTTTCCAATGTTTGCAAAGCCACGGCTCAGCACGCTCAGGTTCGTCACTTCGGAGAGCAAGCAAAACAAGCGCACGCCGCACGAACGCTGAAAACAGCACCGGCCTGAAGCTATTTTCTGGAATGGTCTATATGAAAACAACGTTGTGCGACACACCCAGAACTATTAGCGGGTGCACATAGACTTGCCTATGTAACGTTATTTATTTATTTATTTATTTTAAGAACGCGTTTTAGGGCGTGTGCGTTACTGTGTTAAAGTGGCGGTGCAGCGATTTTCTATGTACATTAAATGCCGCTTATTGTTAATCCTTGACGTTAATAACCACAAAACACGCTTTGCCGGTTTCATTTTCAGTATTCGTGGCGAGATGTTTCGGTGGCGCCCTCGTTTGGTTACACTTCGTGACGTCATTACCTTGTGAAGAACAACTTTAATGGTGTTTGTAATGGGCATGGTGGAAGCCTGAATTCATAGCGCTCTCAAAGTAACGCTGCCCACACCGTCAAAATTGAAGCTCTTACATTCCTCTTATTTGCGTCGACTTCGTATGATTTACTGAAGTTATAGTCACTATGCGGCCAATTATGGTGGGCCGACCACAGCGACGCTTTCGAGCGCTCACATCGCCAATGGCGCGTGATTTGTTCACTTTCCGAAGCGACGAACTTGCACGTGCTGGGCTGAGTAGATCGCACGATGGGCTGAGGACTTGCATATATTCGAATGGTATTTACAAACATGAAGTGCCGCTTGCATGCCAAACGACTTCCGAAAGCTCCGTGTTTGCATGCCTGTCGAGCTTGCTTATGTCTCAAGTGTTAAAAACATAAATGCTGCACGAAATGCAAAATTCGAGCTTTATGCTGCATTGCAACTGCGATCTAGATTCTCTCGTTTTCATAACCAAATGCGCGTGAAACTGCACTAAATCTTTAAGCAACCACGTTCGCAACCCCTTCGCGATTGCGGTTCAACTCAATGTGAATGAGGTATTAACTGGGGCCTTCGGCTGTAAAGTTTAAACTGTCCGGCGATATCCGGAAGTTAATAGATTTTGTACTGGTCACGTAGAGATGGCCTAAATATAACAATATGTGATATTTATTTCATTAAAAGACGCTCCAATATTCGTTAAAAGCAATTATGAACATCAATACGAAACTTAACGCCAAATTTTTCAAGTATGCATGGCTGGTCGTGCCATGAGACGTCACATCAGGCATGGCAACGTCAGAGTCGCTGGCGTTGACTTATTCCGGGTTTTGATCAACGCGGTTGATGGTGCGTACAAAGATCATCGTCGAAGAACTGAGCTTGTCTCAATACCGTAAACCCTGTCTTCCTCAGATCGAAGTTAGTTTACTGAGACAGCAGTCAAAAGATGAGGTGGCTCTCTTTGCTTGATGTTAGGTCAAAACTTCCGCTGTTGCCAAAAAGACAAAAAGTTGTGTGTTTTCCAGGCAGTTCGGTTCTGTTTAAGAAGGCACACTACCCAAAAAAGTCAACTTCTGTACCACTTGCTTGATTTCAATCAAATTTGCACTGAAAGTTTGTATGAGTGGCAAGACCATCCCTGCCAAATTTCATTGTCCTATGTCAACTCTAAAACTTATGAATGTTACAATATGGAAGTCAGTGTGTTCGCTTGGGAAAACTATCGTTTTAAAATAAAATAAAAATGTGTGATTCTCTTATCTAATATAGTCATAGGAATACCCATAGGACATACCCAGCTTGTTATTTTGCTATATTGCACTGTTTTTTTTATAACTCCACAAGAAGATTTAAAAAATGTTTTCATGTCTGCTCTTTTTTCTAAATGTATTTTTTTTAGCATAAAATAATGTTAAAATGGAAAAACTAACCAACCAGGCATGTTCCTCACAAAATTCTATCCCAGAAAACCACCTAAGAATAATTCTTCATTGTGTAATAGAAAAATGATAGTTTTTCTAAAGAGAAATTTATGTCGAAGAGTGAAACGGAGAAAAATGCCTTCAAAGTGCTTCAACCCCTTTCTTTTCTTTAGCCTCGGTGGAGCGAAAATAATTCATAACAAATGAACTATGCAGTGTAAACTAATAAAACTTTCTGGGAATACTCTCTAGATGTTGACGTGTAAATATGTAATTTTTTTCAAAATTAACTTTTTTTGCAGAATTTGTTTTTTCTGGGTAGTGCCCCACCTTAAAATTGATAAACTTGTGCGGTGGTGGACTAAAAATTTGAATATTGTGGGAATGATATTTCTAAAAGCAATGGCAATATAATTTAATTGTTTTCTAAAAAAAAAAACAATTTTTACCGGACAATTTTTTTAAGGTCTTGGAGGAGCAAGTTGGTTTACAAGAATATTCGAAAAATTAAAACGCATCTCGCACTTCTTCGTTCTTTTGGCGTTCACCTGGAAAATTGGTGGTTAAACGTTTCACTGATATTTCAATCAGCGGTGTTAAGATGAATGAGCTTTGTTCATTTTTTTATTCGGGACGTCGTAATCCTCTTTATGTTTTAAAAGTAGCGCAAGGTGCATCGGTGGAAGCAGCACATGCAACGTGCAGCCCTTGGGAATATCACGGCGACACAGCGCAGCACAGAGCTACAGTGTACCTAACGTTGAGTGTAACTGAGCCAGATTTCAGACGCCATGTTCTTCCCAGAAGTGGCGCACGGCACGTGTCTCGAGCATTTTCACAACAATAAATGGCGTAACTTTTCCCAGGATAGAGGGGCTTTAGGACGTCGCAGAGCCGTTTATTGGGAAAATTTGGCCATACGTTGGTTTGAATAGGCGAGCATCTCGGGGCCAACCACAGGCCTCGAAACAGCCCCTAGCGGTGGTCGTGAGCTCTAAATATGTGACACGATTAATTTAAGCCGCTTTAGCGTCGCTAGAGTGAAAAGGTGTAACTCTCGGTGACTGAAAACTTGGCGCATGTGACATTTTCGTCACGTCCATATTCAACGGCAGAATGAACGAACGTGCGCTCCAAACCAGGGC